TGAACCACCAGAGAGGCGCTGCCTTTGGGTTAACAGTGCAGCTCCCTGTGGTCTCTGCCAGTTGTTGTTATATGCCATCGAGTCGCCTGTGACTCATAGCAGCCCTATGTACAACAGCCCTAAACCCTATTCTATCCTATGGCCGCCTAATTATCTTTCACACACCATTACCCTAGTCAGTGAATCTATCCACCTCATAGAGGGTCTTCCTCTCCAAGGACTAATCCCACCTTGCAACATGTCCTAAGTATGTCAGATGAAGCCTCAGAATCTTTGCCTCCAAGGGGCAGCCCAGCTTTCACCCTCTCCAGGATGAACCTGTTTGTTCTCCTAGCAGTCCATGGTATATTCAATACTCTTCTCCAGCACCACAGCTCAAAGGCATCAATTCTCCTTCTGTCCTCCCTAGTCATTGTCCAGCTCTCTATGGGGGGGGGGGGAATCCTTTTTAATTCCCCCTCCCAAATGCCACAAGAAAATAAAATTTTATAAAAAAAATTTTAAAAAACAAAACAAAAAACACACCCCAAACTGACATGGTTGCTCTTCCGCCCTCTAAAGAGGTCCTTGGCAGCAGATTTTTGCAGAACACTGTGCCTTTTCACTTATTTTTTTAAAATAATTTTTAAAATTTTATTTTCTTATTTTTTTGTGTGTATATCATCATATCATCAGATCTGACTGGTACAGGAGGAAATTGTCCCTGCTTCTCCAGCAGAGAATCTGGTGGATTCGAACCATGTACCTCTGGGATTACAGTGCAGCTTCTTGCCACTAGGCCACCAGAGCTCCCACCTTTTCATTTTTTGACTGCTACTATCATAGGTGTTGATTGTGGATCTGAGCAAGGTGAAATCATTGACCATCACTCTTTTCTTCATCTGTGACGTGTGGCAGTCCCGTGTGCCCAAGGAGAACTACTCGGCTTTTTAGGCCACGACCTTTGTGAAGCCAATTGCCAGGCGCTGCTCCCAAGGGTTCTCTGAATAGGTTTAAACCGTCAACCTTTTTGGCTAGTAATCAAGTGCTTAACCATTTGCACCTCCCAGGGACACACAAAGAAATCATTTCCGTGTGTATTTTGTTAAAGTGAAGGAGGAGGAGAGGAGTGGAGAACAAATGTCAAAGTTTATCAAAAGTAAAACAAGGCCTCATTGGACAGCTGGCCTCACTAAAGGGATGGGGCCAGGGTCCTCAATGGGGCGGTCTGCGTCTCAAAAAAGGAGGTGGGTGAGGGGACAGACAACCCTCTGGAAGGTGAACTTGTGAACTTGAAGACATAGAGTGATGATAACATTATGGTCCCTGAAGGAACAGATGAAAGAAAAGCTGCTCCCCCCGGCTCCCACCTGACCCTCCCAGCTTAGCTGTGTTTGCTTGGGAGGAGAGGGGCGTTGATCCATTTCTGGTTCAGTTCTTCCCTGATGTTCACCCAGCATCCATCCTCAGGAACTGAGGTCTGAAGGGTATGAATTTTCAAATTCTCTGGGAAGTCCTGAGCAAGCAGATGGACAGGTCCCTGGAGGCCCCTCCGATTACTTTTAGAGCTGAGCATAGGCCTTCTTAGAAGTTTAAAAATAGAACACAATTTGAGACAAACAGAGCGTTTTCCCTAGCAATAGCAATCAGATAAGCAAGAATCAAATGAAGGAAGGAGCCTATTGAAAAAGGCACTGCAGGGTGGCAAAAGAGAAGGACCTTACAGGCCAGGCCTCAGGGAATCTGCATTCTAATCAGGCTGTAATATGAGCCAGAATTATTGGACTGAATGCATTTTTTTTTACTTTGGACTCTAAAGCAAGAAGTTGTTCTTTTCCAAAGAAAACTTTTTAAAAAAATGTGAAAAGAAAGAAAGGAAAACATTGGGTTCAGGACCCTCCAGAGCTAGGAGTGTACTATGCTCTGTGAAGAAATAGCAAAACCGGAATGCTGGGTTTGCCTGTTCCTTTTATTTGCTTAACCTTGGCTCTGTTGGCATTCTGGGCCAGAGAGTCCTGTGTGTGCACTTTCCTGCATATTGTAGGGTGCTTAGCAGTATGACCAGAAAAAGGACACTATTTTTTAGGGAGCTTAGCAGGACAGCGTTCAGCCTGTCACTATGAGTCAATTGAATAGCGACCAAGATTGAATCTTTTAAATGCACTTCCTTTAATCTAGTGCTGATGATCTGAGAGACACCAGCAGCATGGATGCTCTAAAGACATCCCAGGATTAAGCCAGGCTTGGTAAGGGGGTGGTCAGAGGGAGTAGGTAGGAATATGGAAAGCTTCCAGGAGAGACGTGTCCGGGGGTCTGAGGAGGTTGTGTCCCTTCCCATGATGGTTTTCAGCTTGTGTTTGATATTCTAGGTAGATAGGTGGCAAACTTCCTCAGTGATGGCACATTCTTCAAGTCATTCCTCTGTTTCTTTATGTCGGGGTGACTTGATCGCAAATCCTGGCATAAAGTCTCACAGACAGTTAATGAATCAGGTTAATGGATCTTACACAGGTAAATGTTATCATCCTAAACTTTGGCTTCAGGACTGGAGGACTCACTTACAACCTTCGTTATACAGATGTCACAGCCTTGCTTGCTGAAAGTGCAGAGGACTTGAAGCTCTTACCGTCGAAGATCAAAGACTGCAGCCTTCAATATGGATTGCATTTCAGCATCTAGAAAACAAAAAGTCTCACCACTGGGCTGATAAACAGCAATGTGATGGATGGAAAAAAGATTGAAACATTCAACGACTTCGTCTTACTCAGATCCACAGTCGATACCCTTGGTATCAGCAGTCAGGAGATCAGGAGACATAATGCACTGACAACGTCTGCAGGCAGGGTTCTTTCCAAATTATTGCAAAGCACTGATGTTAGTCTGAGGACAAAGATATGTCTAATTCAGGCCATGGTCTTTTCAGTCACTCCCTATGCCGCTGAGAGCTAGACAGTGACTAAGGATGATAGAAGAATCGATGCCTTTGAGCTGTGGTGCCGAAGAAGAGTACTGAGTATCCCGTGCACTGCCAAAAGAACAAACAGATAGGTCTGAGAGAAAGTATAACCAGAGTGTTGCTGGGAGGCAAGGATGATAAAGCTTTGTCTCACATATGGCACACAGGATAGGACAGGTTTAGTTCTGTTGTTCATAGGGTCACTACGAGTCATACTTGACTCGATGGCACCTCACAAAAACATATACTTTGAACATATTACTAGGAGAGGCTATTCATTGGAAAGGAGCATCAAACTTGAAAAGGTGGAAACACAGTAAAAGAGAGGAAGGCACTCAGTGAGGTGGATTGACCCAGTGGTACACTGCGGCAGTGGGCTCATGTGTGTCAGAGATGATGAGAATGGCACAGGATAGGACAGGGTTCAGATCTGTTGTTCACAGGGTCACTATGAGTTGTACTCAACTCAGTGGCGCCCAATAACAACAATAGCAACAAACTTTGGCAATTCTTTATTATCGTGCTCACTGTGGTCCATTGTGTCTGAGCTCCCACTGTCACCAGCAGCATCCCTGGCCTCTGTCCAGTGGTTAGTAGTAGCATCTTCCCTTGGTCTTCACTACCCAGACTCTCCCTAAAACAAAAGAAAACACTACCAACAAGTCCATTCCGACTCCTAGTGACCCTCCATCTGGTTTCCAAGATGGTACAGCTTGATGGACATTGCTCGTCTTTCTTCTCCAGTGCAGCAGGTTTGAACTGCGGTACAACCCAATACACTATCAGAGCTCCTTAAGCTATCTGCAGACATTGGCAGTGGTCTTCTGGGAAGCAGAAGCACCTTTGATTGCTTAAAACCAGCCTAGACACTGTGGGACCTCTTTTCCAGAAGATAGAAGAACAAGATTTCAAACTCCACCTTTGAGCAGCTCCGGAAGGAAGAGGAAGGTCTCCGTGTAAGAGGTAAACCTGAGACAGGTGTGTGCTCTCTGTGCAAATAGCCAGGAGGCCCTGACACGCAGGGGGTGTTGACTGGGCAGCCTTCCCCTGTCACTTTCTCAAATCCTTTGACTCATTCTTAGAGGTGGGGCATGAGGCGAGGGCCGTTGGTCCTGTTCTGTTCGTCCAGGTGCTTCTACAGGACAGAGAACTGGGCAGCTCAAAATTGGCTTTGTTGATTCTAGTCATTATGTACAAATATGTCAACTGATTCACGTCTGTCATCAGAAAATGCAATTCATGGCAAACCATGTAGGGCAGAGTAGAACCTGCCCCCGTAGGACTTCTGAGGATTTAATCTTTATGGAAGCTGTCAGCCTCTTTTTTTCCTCCTGAGGAGGAACATCTCACCCTTTAGATTCGAACCTTGCATCTTGCAGTTAGCAGTCCGACGCTTACCTGTTGAGCCACCAAGCACCTTCTGTGCGTGCCAGTGGAGAAAATGGAAGTCATTTGTGTGAGCAGTGTGTGTGGGGACAGATTATATTTGCATGCACACTCCTCCTGTGCAGGGACACAGTGACTGAAACAGTGGGCTCAGTTGTAGCGAGAGTTGTGGGGGTGGCATCCCTTCTGTTGTCCGTAAGGCCTCCGTCAGGCGGCACTGACCTGAGAACATCAGCAAGTACCTATTCATGTGGCAGACAGAAATTTGAGAGACTTCAGCCATGCTTCTGTTCTACCCCGATTTTCAGGATAGACGCCTCACATTTGCTGACGTAAGAGGGTAGCTCGGAATCACACTTCTATGGGATAAGCCTTTTACAGGATTAGGAGACACGGCCTTTGTTTTTACTGTGTCCTGCCAACAAGGCACAAATGACCCCTCACTGAATAGAACTTTCCAGAACTTCTCCCCCCCTTCCCTCATTCCCTTTGTTGAATGCAAGCCTTTTCTCGAATCTCAATTTGTATTCCGTATAGCACTAATCATACATTTTTACTGGTGTCCTGGGTCTAGATGGGACTTGGTGGAATGACATCCACATGGTGAATGGAGACATTTGGCTTTGATGCCCCTCTGTCATTTTGGGGGTTCTTTACCCTCTTTCTACTTTTCTCCTAGTGCATCCACTCTGGGAGAGTGTGGACCTGGTCCCTGCGGGCGACCGACAGTCACCCATCAATATCCGCTGGAGGGACAGTGTTTACGACCCTTGCCTAAAACCCCTCACCATCTCCTATGATCCAACCACCTGCCTCCATGTCTGGAATAATGGATACTCTTTCCTGGTGGAATTTGAAGATTCTACAGACAAATCAGGTGAGAAAAAGATCTGCGGGGCCAGCCTGGAGATTCAGGCCACCTCTGGGCTGGTGACCTGGGTAGTTAGGACATATGCCCATTGGACTTCCCTTTTGATTGTTTTTTTTTTTAAAAAAATAAAGTCCCTTCTGCTCCTTATGCATGTGCCGTTCTACTGGTACAATACTTAGTTAATGAAAAGAATCAACTCATATTATTTGTTATTAATATGTCTATTTCATGGCTACAATTAAATTAATTAAGACATGCATTTCTATACAGATAAGCTATCAATGGCTGGTAAATACGATGTGAAATTCCAGCATTGCCAGAAATTGTGCGTGTGTGTGTTGAACATGTGCTAGTTTTCTCCTGCTTGCTGACTTTACAAGTATCCCTGGTATCCCTGGTACTGAATAGTAACACCATTCAGTCAGGCTTAACTGATAAGATTGCAGTGTATTTGTTAAATGATAAGATTGCAGTGCATTTTAAATGGAGCAAAAAGTATGTTCACATGTACGCAGGGTTATGGGCTCTACCAAGGTGTCCAGATTAGTCACAGAGTCAAACCTGCAAAAGCAGAACCCAAGTAAAGTAGAAGCCTGTCCGAGAAGGAGCACGCAAATGCAAAATGTGGCAGTCCCTTTGGGTTCCAGTTCTTACAGTTTTGTTTCTTGAGGTTTTTGGGTTTTTGTGGTGTTTTTCTTTTTCTTTTTTTTCCATTTTATGTAAAAAAAAAAATTGAATCTCCTGATCTCTTTATTTTGTTAAATACATGATGTTAGTGAACACAAGTGCTTCTTTCCAAAGCTGGTTGCCAATAAGACAGATGGATTGCAGTATCCAAAACACTTTATTGCAGGTCTGGGAGAGCAGAAAACATCCTCAAACACTGCCTCCCCTTCTAAGAATAGTTGTTGGGTTTTATACTTGGATTAGGTGGTATTTTTTGTAACATATTACTATCACAGATTCACAGCTACAGGTTTTTTACATTCAAAAGAACAGTCTTTATACAGTAATTAGTAAACAGACAATTTGTGATAATGATCTACATGTGACTGAAAAAAAGAGTTTCAAAAAAGAAATGATAATTTAGGAAAGATGCATTTCCGCTCCTAGTAAACAGACAGCTTAAGGAACAGTTCACATCTGACTGAGAAAAATAGAACTTTATAGATAACAGTTTATATGTGATTGAGAAAAGATAAATGCTAATTCAATGAAAGATGCATTTCCCCTCCTGGCAAACAGCTTAAGATACTCTGCTTGAAGTTACAACGGGTCTGAGAGCCAAACAAGTGTTAATTAGCCGGTTCACCAGTTCTGCAGGCTCGAGGCACATGATGGCAGTTTTATAACTATACCATATGTTTGAATAATTCTGAACCTTTTAATACCACCCTATCATTATCTGTCGCAATGGTCAAAAAGGCATTTTCAAATTCATGGACTACATTTCTTTTGAATCCTCTTTTTCTTTCCACCTACTTTTACTTTTGAAAGAGAGGAGCGAACTGTGGGGCGGGGGGAGAGGGCTGGGCGGGGAGAGAAGTGCAGCAATGAATGAATGGAAATCCAAATTCTCTGTAAATGTTCATTAAAATTATTTAAAAAAAGGATAAAAATGAATCTGAATAATTTCCAAATTTAACAGAAATCCTCGGACTCTACTGAAGGCAGAACATGATTCATTGTTTGCAGATTCCTTCTTGATGTTTCTTTACTGAATTTGATGGTATCAAGTGGTCCAAATAAGCCTGAACTAATTTTTTGAAGTTGTGTGTCTGAAGTAATTGTATTCATACTGCCAATCTCCCTCCCTGCCTTCCCTCTCCCCTGAACACTGGGTAACACCTGGAGTTGGTTTTGGCTGACATAAATGGGCATAGAGGCAGAGAGGGCAAGGTTACTCCTTGGCATCTCGTAGATCAGGCCAGGTATGCTGCACTGAAAGGCCTTATGTAAAATTTCACCCCCCTCAAATGTCAATAGAACTGAAGATGAGAAGAAATCTTGATCTGAAGAAAATCTGTTTTCTTCCTGTGATGTGAGAAGATGAGTCCTTGGAAGTGATCATGACTGAAGTGATAATGTAACTGAAAAGAATGAAATAGGAGTGTTCACTCCAGTGTTTATCCTAGCTCTGGAATTCCCTCCTGTATCTTCCCTTTCTTTGCTTTTTGAAATGATGCTCAGATATTAAGAACCTGGCCGTCTGGCCCAACTGCAAAAAGGCTGCTCCTCTAATAGAAGCCATTCACTTCAAATCACATACATAACAACATATTGTTTTGCAAATAATGTAAATGTAGTACACAGAGAGCTTTAGAAACTGAGACGGGGCTGCCTATTTGCGAAAAATTTATATAATACCCACATTTTTTTTGCATATAAATAGGGCTTTTTTTCTTGGTTCTGGATGTTTCCTAACTGCTCTTCTGGTTAAGTTTCCACCTGTACCATTTCCCCTTTGCTTCTCCAAAGCAAAACATGACCCCTAAACCCTTTTTTCCCCTCCAAAGAAGAAGGAATGGCTCCTTTTCCTCCAAGATCCATGGGCCTCTTTCCGAACTTCTGCAAAACCACAGATTATGCCTTTCTTCGTTGGAGCCCATAGTTACATTATCTGTATAAAGACAAACAGCTCATTGCCTTGGAACCAACCCAGCTGGAGATATCTATATATTTGACTCTCCAATGTTTCCAAGGCTGTAAATCACTTGAGAAGAGATTGCCCATCTTTATCCCTCAGATCCCCTGTGGATTCCAGCTGCCAGAGAGGCATGGACTTTGGGTTAACACAGTTACTTCCTATGGACCAGGTCATCCACCAGAACCCCCTTCCAGAATGATTGCAAGCAGCAGAGACTATTCCTGTGCCCAGTCAGCCATCTTACACTAGGAGGCGCTCTACCTGTGGTATATAGCTGACCCTCTAGAGGGCTTTCAGAGTTAGTAAATTGCTCAAGAGATTGCTCACCTTTCTCCTGCAGAGCACCTGGTGGATTTGAACCTTGTGCCTTTAGATTGGCAGTGCAGCTGCCTACCACTAAGCCATCAGCGTCCAATCTGAGTTAATGGGCTGATTTGGTCTATATTCTCATTCTAAATGCATAACACTGTTTGATCCTCAACCCCAGCTTGGTCCCTCGACCCCTTCTTCTCTTTTTCCTAAGGATCCTAACTGTTGGTCAGCTTTTTGATGCATGCCCTTGACAAACCAGGGACAATCAGGAGTTCATGGCCAGTCATTGTCTATTGCCAACATGCTGTTACTGAACACAGGGGTTCTTTCCATAGTCAAGTGTCCATAAGGCAGACAGATTGCAATATTCATGAGCACTTAATTACAGAACTGGAAGGACAGTCAGATTCTCCTCAAAAACTGCTTTTCCATCTGGGAATGGTCATTGGGTTTTTATAGTAGGGTTGATACTAAACTAACTTACTTAATAATATTTACTAACTTAATCAGTACATAAAGATACAGAATTTCTACATTTAAAATAGAAATAAAAAGCCCCACAGTTCAACAAGACAGCACCCCACACAGGAACAGCATGGCAGGAAGCGCAGGACAGCACAACAGGAAGTGTGGGTGCTACCTGCGCTGCTCCCACAGTTTTTTTGGGGGAAAAACCACTGTCTAGCTTAACCATGTGGGATCCCTTAACTCAGACAACAGGGAGGTCCTGGGCACCTTGACAGAGGGGAGAAGCCACTTCCAGAAGGGAACAACAGGCTTCCTCCTTGCTCATTCAGGTACTTTGGGGGGGAAACTGCTGTCAGGCCTGAGACCTGGAGCACAAATATATAGGTGCTTCACAAAACATTGCTGTACCCTGGGGGATTTTATAGTTATAACAGCCTAATATCTACTAAGAAAAGGCTCCCATAATGTCAAGAAAGCAGCAATCCTCATCAGCCATTATGAAAAAACAAAATAACCCTTCTTCTAAAAAAGCAGACCCAATGAATACCCCAGATAGAACCAGAAGAAATATGTTGATGTAGAATTATTTGATCAGCTACAGGAAAAGGTGCAAATGTGGGAAGAAACAACGGAAGTCAATAAGAGAGCAAATACTTCAGCGACTGCAGTCTAGAAGAAATACATAAATGAGGAGAAACTTGAACAGATATGGATGAAAATACAAAAGATGGAAGAAAAAAACAGAATAGACAAAGAGGTACGAGAAATGAAAAAATCATCACAAGACAGAGAGGGTACAGCGAACACAGCACTGGAAATAACAGAAAAGCATGAAAATGCAATCCAGAATATTAAGACCGAAATGGCAGAAGTGTCCAACATGCTAGTAGGACAAAAAAAGTAGAACTGAAGAGATGGAACAGAGAGTCAGTGGAAGACAAAGGCCTTACTAGAAACCTGCTTGAAAAAAATCAGAGATGAGACATCAAGAAAATGAAGAAAACATTAAAATTATGTGGGATGATATAAAATGGAATAACATACATATGATTGAAATTCTGGAACATGGTAGGGACAGGGGAATCAGAAGATTTTGGAAGAAGTACTAGAAGAAAACTTCCCTGGTATTTTGAAGAATGGGGAAATGCACACCCAAGAAGCACAGAGAACACCAAATACACTAGACCCAAAAAAGAAAAACACCAAGACCTATCATAGTCAAAATATCCAAATTAAAAGATAAAGATAGAATTCTAAAAGCAACAGGGAGCTCTGGTGGCCTAGTGGCAAGAAGCTGCACTGCAATCCCAGAGGTGAGCAGTTTGAATCCACCAGATGCTCTGCTGGAGAAGGAGGGGCAATCTCCTCCAGTACCAGTCAGATCCAATTTGACAGTACACACACTAAAAATAAAAATAAATCAAACGAAGAATTATAAAAGCAGCATTAGAAAACAATGAGTTACCTACGAAGGGGAAACAATTAGATTAAGTTCTGATTTCTCAGCAGAAACCATGTGAGCTAGAAAGCAGTAGGAGCCTTATACAGAAAATTGAAAGAAAACAATTGCAGGCAAGGA